TGGTGCTTAGTTGCTGGCTGGGGCTAAACCACGACAATATTCCAGTGGTTTCTAGAGCTATAAACAAGCTCGCATTTACAAACATATGGGAAGAAGAGTCAAACAATGTTTGTCACCAGTACTGTGACAAAGGTTTGAACTCGCATCGATCCAGAAAATGGCAAAACTCAACTTGTTATTGGCCTATCACAAGTTCTTTCTGTAACAATTGCCTTGAGGAGAGGAGAGGAAACTAAATGCAAATATCTGTTGAGAATGAGTAAATCTTTCAAGAGGCTGCTCTGGAGTTACTCGAGAAACACATGATCAGCTTATGCCCTAGCGTTATTTCCCAGGTGCCTGTTGAAATGCACAGGGAAGGCAAACCAAGGCAGACAGGGTGAATAAATAAGATAACTACATTAGAGCAACCAGAAGAGAAGAAATGGAGTGTGTCTAACTGTGGAAAATAAACACAAGGAAGAGCAATCAGAAGGCAATAATCAAGCACGCATTCCCTGACAGAGAAGGATTAGTTTATCATGTTGAAGTAAAGCATGGATATGAAAAATGAATCATACAGGTATAAATTATTCATGTGTGAAGATGTATCAGTCATTAAGATATTTACACCGTGACTGAAGCACTTACACACTATGTTGATTTATTGGCTATGTAATTACATAAGATATACTGATGAATGTTCGCGTGAAAAACGCTCTAGATTTTGGATTTTGTTAATAATTTTTCTCACTTTTGAGCACTGCATCTCAATCAGTACAAGAGGCTTGATTAAAACCTCCCAGAGGAAGAAGCATTGCTTTCTGCATGCTAATACATTTCTTCAGCTAAATAGCAGCATACCTTTTTTATTTGACAGCTTCTTAAATCACTGGCAACAAGGGTTTTTATTCTGAATATACTTTTATGATGTGTAAATATATTATATGATATCTAAAAAGTTTTAGATAAAATAAGCAGTGTCACCACCTTTCCTCACCTCAAAAGTAATCACAAATGATTCTAAAAGTTGAAAAAAAATTTTTTTTAGCCCGATGAAGTTATCACATTACATGCGTTTCTTTATGTCCTTGTAAATGTATGTATCTGCTAATCCTTACCTATCCTCATGGCTTGTCAAATGCAGTTCAACAACTGGTGAGTGGTAGAGGACAGAAAACCTCTTTAGGATTCCCACAGTAGGGAAGCCAAAAAGTGAGTTGCTTTTATTAGGCAGCAGAGGATCTACTTGTGAAACAGTACCTAGAAATGCCCTAAAAAGGGAAAAGCTTCAATCATAGTTTGCAATCAATAATTACACTAAATTCACAGGAAAACAAACTTCATTAGCTTAGGATGCTTTTTTCTTTTCTTCCCAAAGCCTTCTTGTACTTAAAGCTGGGAAGTGCTGCTATACTGTGAGCTTGTTCCTGTAGGAACACTAAGCTCTGTTGCGACTATCTGTGCTCTGCAGCTTCTCACTTCTCTAACTGGAAGGTTTTGGGTGCTTTCAAATTTTCTTTCAGAAGTCATGGCAACACAAGGTACAAATGATTTTTTTGAGCAGCTTGAAAGAGCCAGACAAGGAGGAAGGATGTCAAAACAGATTTTGACCTTAAAGAGCCAGCTGAACCAACTGAAGCACACAGCTCCACAAGACTACTGTTGATCTTGCCTGGATGCTGCTGTATCTTCTAGCAATGATGTGAGTGACAAATAAGTGGATACCTTACTATGTCACACTAATTTTCCTCTCGCCAAGCTTCTTCCCTATTAGGTGTTCACAGGCTAACAATTTTTTCACCTTAAAATTGTATATAGCAGGTCCATGTAGCCTTCTCTGTTGTTGTGATTCTCTGACTGAAAGCAGTAAAAAATAAATATAGGAAGTCTGTGCCGGTTCAGATCAGTAAATAAATGCGTAGTTCCTCAAAACTTGCAGTTCTCCCAGTGCATTGCTTTGGTAGCAACGCATTCACAGATCTAAATGTGTCTCACTCCTGCCAAACTATAAGCCAGTATTTCACAGAAATATTTTTTTCTTAGTCAAAAAAAAGTGCTCTTCTACTCCTCACATCTTTCTTTGTTCCGTTCATCCAAAATCTTTGCAGCCCACAGACAGCAAGTAGAGCAGTCTCTCTTTCAGGTAAGAGCTTTCTTTTGTCCATTCAGTTCTTGTCAGTACACCTGATTCTTTATCTTCTCTCTCTTTTTCTGTAACCCTAACTTTTACCAGTACCTGTGTGCCTCATGCTCAGACTAGTCAAGAAAGCATAAAGTTGGGACACCCAGATTGCACTTTCAGAGCAGTAAGCCTCATTAAGTTCAGGCCATATGACACCCGGATATCTTTCTATGACGCTCCTAAAAGAAAAAAAACACCTTCTATCCCTAAACCACAATTTCCAGTACCAATATCCAAAGATTGGACCAGTAGCTGGGCGGATCACAGAGGTGTATTTTAGTGAAGTTACAGAAGATTGTTGAGAACTAGAAAAAATCTGACATCTCTGACACTCATTCCTTTAAGAGCAAAACGG